TTTGAAAAAATTAGAAAAATACAAAGACGAACGATCGTTTTCTTTCACTTCAATGTACAACAAATGGATGAAAATGCATCGCTGTTTCGATGGAAAGTAAGCCTGTTGGGAAAAATAACCGGATAAAAACATTTTGTTATTTGATGATTAAACTGTTAAATGCACACTCAAATCAAACAAAAATTAGATGAGTAATTAATTAACCAAAATAAATTGAACGAAAACTTTTCTCTTCAATTACTGAATTTTTCAGCTGTTTGATAAAAGATGTGCAAATTATCTTTCTTCCTTTCACTCCTGGAATTTTTGTTACAATAGGAAAAAAATCATAAATTTGAATAGAAAATAAAAATTTTAGGAAATGAAATTAAACAATCATTTAGAAATTGCTTCCAATTCTTTTTTTTTTTAAAATCGTAAAACAGGAATGAAAATGTTTGAAAAATTAGTTGAAAACATTAAACTTTCTTCCATCGTACATATAAAGTGCAAATATGCAGTTAAGAAAAAAAAAACAAATATTGTTTACAATAAGGCTTTATAGACTGATTGATTGGATACTTTTAAATGAATTAAATTAATATACCAGCTTAAATACAATGAAGCAAACAGATAAGCAAGTTGGATAACTTACCTATGCTATCAAATAGTTCAATGTTCAACGTTCAATTATTTGTATGTTGTAATTATTTGTACAAGCAGAATTTCTGCACTCGAACTCGTCGGTTTTTATTGCTTCGAATTAAAAAATCATTCAATACCGTTCGGAATTCATTGTTAAATACAATTTCACTTGCATTACTGTCGAAAGCTGACGGAGAAGAAACGAAATGGAGAAATTTGTAAATAATAAAAATAGTTAGAAATAAAGTGTAAAATTGAAATAGCTGCTTTATAATGCATGTATCTGTAAAATAAATTTAGGAAATTTTCAAAAAAATTTCTTGTTGATGAAAAAAAATCGCTTCGTTAAAGTTTCTCATGTCAGTAATGATAGGGGAAAAAATTGGAAATTAAAACTTCAATTAAAAATTTCGATATAACCAGAAAAAAATAAAAATGCAAAAATTGACAATATTGTTGAAATTCAATTAGTATTTATCTGAAGATAAAATGAGAGAAATTGCAAATTTTGACAAGTAAAAGTTATTTATTGCAAAATATGAAATTTTCAAATTCATATCAATTGTAGAAATAAGAAAGATAATTATAAATGAGTCAGATTCGAAAAAAGCATAGCAATTTGAAATTTAGAAAAGCATGAAAATCTGAGAAAGAGAAAATAAAACTTGGGAAAATAGAGAGGGAGAGAGAGAGAAAAAAAAGGAGGCATAATGTGAAGTGTACTTTGAAAGCGCCTAGAAATTCTTTGGTAGAATGAAAAGCCATTTTGCTTTTACATTTCAAAGTTAAAATGAGTTAAGGTGAAGGTGAAGATGAAGGTGAAAGTGAAAGTGATTTAAGAGCTATATGCTGCAGCGCACAACTCGAACTCCACCCTTTCAATCCGTTTCCCGTTTAGTCTTGAAAATTCACTTTACAACAAAATTTACTCTCAATCTCTCATTTCAAACACAAAATGAATCAGCTATGATGCTAATAAGAAGTTAAGCACTCTCTCACTTCAACAATCGTTGCTATTTCAACCGAAACTTTAATTTTCCTGGACAACAAAAATTTTACAATGAATGAACGGTGTGACACAAGCAGAAACTTCGACGAATTCTCATCCCAGATTTAAAAAAAAATTTTTTTTCAGGAAAAAAGTCCAGGTAAGGGAAATTCCTCTTTTTTTTTTTAATTTTTACTTCAACTTATAAAGTACAAAAATTTTCGTTCTCAGTAACAAAAAAATGGAATTCTAGAAGTGGAAGAGATGCAGCGTTGAGTGCACTTGAAAATCACTGAATTTCTGTACTAATTGCTTCTTCATAATTTTTTTTTCAAAATAATTCCCCAGATAAAACATTCTTTTTCAGCGATAAGATCAAAAACTTTTTACAATATCAAAATTGAAAATCAATTGTAACAATAATACAGTAATTGAAAAGCAATTTCAAATATCCAATGATGTTTGCCTTTTTTTTTCTTTACTTTGCTTTGCTATATGATGTAAATGCAACGGTGAAAATATACATTGAAAATCTTACACTAAAGTTAGTAATAATAAGTAGTGCATACACAGTAAATATTTCACTCTTCCTAATGTACTCATCTCTCATCACAAACTGCACTCTTCTGCAAATACTCAATATGCTCCCATTGATGTTAGATGTACAAGACTCGAGAGAAATTTGTTGGGTTAAAGGAAAGCCCCTCAAGGTTACAGCAAAATCTAAATCAACATGAAGAGATGTGATCAACAAAAGTGGATTCTTTATTGCAGAATTTCCGGATGAAATAAATTGACGCATAAAAGATTAATATTTTTTATATTTCATTTCTTTAAGCGTTTCAATGATGCGGCAGTCAGTTATCATTGATGAAAAGGAAGTTTTAATTCTTATTATTACTTGCAAAACTTTCATGCTAGTGAAATTTTCCTATCATAAGCTGTTAACAATTGAATACCGTGGAAATTATTAAACAATAACATTATTCATTTCCGAACAATGGGAATGCATTCTGCACGCACCAATCACAATTCACCATATGGTGTATTTATATTGCCACATATGAATATAGAAATTTTTTTTTTTTCACTGCCTGCATGCAAAATTCACCAGAAAAGCATCTGCACAATATAATAATAGATAATTTTTTTGCAAGTTTTCCCAACAACTTTACACTTTATTAAATAAGCGATTGCTCCCAATCATATGGAAATTCTTGTACTTGTAGCACCAACATTGCTTTTTTCATTAGCTAAAAATAATTTGCAATAAAACTAATTTGATAAAAACAGCTTCCGACAATAAGCAACTCACTTTTTCATTCATACTTAAAATTTAAGATATCTCTATGCAAGAATTTCTTATGAGACATATCCTGCTATAGAGACATTTTTAAAACTATTTATGGGAAAATAAACCTGATCAAGAACATTAGTTTTAAATTTCTCCTCTAAATAAAGAATTTTGCAAGTTTTTAATTTTTACCTTATAAACTTTATACCTTATAAAAAAAAAACACAAAAACTCACCTTATAAATTTTTTTATAATTTGGATTATCGTAAAATCTTAAACTATCAATGTAACGCAAAATTGTAACATATTCTTGCGGACAACCGCCCATAAGCTCCTGCAGACCCACCTTAAAACGACATCGCTCCTGGGACATAGAAGCATTAGGCATGTTGATAACATTCAACTGATAATGTGATTATACAAGAAAAGAGAAGTCAGTCGGAGAATCTCAAATCCTACTAATGCAAAAGACATTAGGTGAAGAAAAACAATGAAAAAATAAAAGTAGCATTCTTCACCGTTTAGTTTGTATACACAGACTTTATACTATGTCAACATTTTACGAAAAAAAACCGCATTTCAACGAAAATTCAATTTCTGGATCTTGGAAAATCTAATATCACTTTAAAAGCTACCCAATAGCTCGAAAATATTCCAGCAATGAAGCTCCTCCCACATTTTAATTTATATTCTCGATCTCAAAAAAATCTTTAATGTAAATTTACTTTGTACATTGCAACTTCATCCTTCTTATCGTCTAAGGAACGCCACGGAAGTGCACCACGTGTAATTTCAATTTGCTGATAAAGCCACGATTCGATATCATCCTTGCGACACGTTTCACGTCGTATGTGACACGATAATGATGCATATCGAACCGTACCTCGAAATCCAGCCACCTGCATAATTCAAATTTTTATCATTTTCAATAATCAGTTGAATAATTCGTAAGAATTGACGTCGTTTTCCCCAAGGACGAATTATATTGCATGTCTAACTATGTCTATGTGAGTGGACAGTTAATAATTTCATAAAAAGTTCTTTAGATAATTTAATTATGCATATTATTATTATTTTTGACAAGCAAATGCTTTAATTCCTCATATTTATCATCATACACCATGGACTGATTCCATCTGGGATATCGTTATTTGCACCAATTTGAATGAAAATTTGGAACCCGTAAAAATGATGCTAAAAAGCTTTGAGATATGGTATTTTAACCAGTTTAATGTAGTGATAAAAATCAATCAATCGAAATATTGTTAATTACACTGTCAAATAAATTAAATTTCCTGTCAAGCAGAAAGATTCTATTTTTGAAAATTTAATTCCAATTACTGTGCCTTGTCAATTTGATAAATTGCACAACAAAAATCATCTTCCATTATTTTAATTTCTTTTTTTTGCAACATATACATTTAACATTCTAGGAGCTTACAATTGCTGAGAAAGATTTTATTTAATAATGTTAATGAAAAGTAATTGCTTGAATTTGCAATATTGAGTAAGTATTTATTTCTTCCAGAAGATTTTATTTGTTTATTATTTCATCACGAAATCTACGTTTTACGAAGATAACTTAGAATTTTAGTGAACAAGAAAGAATAATATTTCGCAGTGTTAAATCATAAATTCAGAACAAGAAAGAATAATATTTCGCAGTGTTAAATCATAAATTCACTAAACGGTTCTGCACTTCAAATACTCAAAGTCATTCTACAAACCTTTCTCGGAGGTCGAAATCGTCCATGTTCATCCAAATAGCTTCGACACATCCCAAAATCCAATATATAAATTCGTCGTAATTCGTCAAGCTTTCCACGACCCGTTGCGTAATTACTTGGTTTAATATCACTGGAAATATTAATTATTATCATTTACTTTTACCAGACATCTAAATAATGGGATCCAAGGAAAGTTTATATGATAACCGGTAATCACTTGACTGTTTTAGAAATTTACCTATAAAATATCCGCTTATTTGAAAGCAAAAAAAAAAAAAAGAGAACAATTATCTGCAAAACAAAAATAAGAATATGAAAATAAATCTTAATATATCTGCTGTAAGAGTAATCTTGGAATTAATTATTTCCATAATTAAGCTTTAAGCTTTTTCTAAAATGCAAAAGAAAAAACCGATGCAAGAATCCAATAGCATGAAGTTCTTCGATTGCTTCTAAACATTGAATTCCAACGGAAAGAGCACAACCCATGGAAAATTTCTGTCCCGCTAACTCTTTTCTTATATCCTTCAAATAGGGATGTCATATATCGCATACGAACAGAATATGTGATGTATTAGCAATATTAGCACTTCGTTTCTCATGAAAAATATCAACGTGTTTTAAAAAATTATGCCTTAATGATGCAGAAGAATATTTACATAAGTCATAATTATAATAAAGCTAGACATTCTGTTCATTACAATCATTTAATATGAGTAAGGTCGAAGCAATTAATCTGATAAATAAATTAATATGAATTTGGAAGAGAATTGTCTAGCATTTTATTGTTTGGCCTTAAAATTAATTATAAACCCAGCATCGTCATTTAACGATCCAAACGGGCATTTGATACAGTTTTCAAATGACAATCAGCAAAAGACAATAGTAAAATTTTATCAGTATTGTTTTATCATAAATATAATCGGTTAATATCCACTATTGAAAAAGTTATTTCGCCTAAAATAACTCCATACATGTACCTGCAAACAATGCCCGAGTAGTGTCATCACCAAATAGAAGCATTTTTTATAGATGCCCGTGTCTTCACATGTACAAAAATGCTTACTTTTTCGTTCATTCGCTAATTTAAGCACATAAACTTCCATTTTCAACAACTAAAATCATTTATGCTATTAAAAGATGGAAAAAAGTTAAAATACTATCTGTTTTTGATTAAGAATAATATGAACCATAATGGTAAATGATGATGAATAGAATATTGAAACTATAAGAATTGAATACTAAATTAATTAGACATTTCACTAATTCCAAATATAACTTGAACGAGATGATACATTGGAATTAATTACAATTTTATTCGTTGCCCAAAGAAAGATAGCTCAATAAATAAACACCATCAAAAATCACTCACATTCTACTCTAATGTTAACGAACTTACTTTAACTTTCTCTTTTAAACTTTCTGTTTTCAGTGCATAAATCTCATTTCCTCTTGACACCTGCAAAAGAAAACCGGTAACATACGAAAATTTCCAAGTGAAAAATCACAAATAAAAAAAAAAAATAAAAAAATGCGAAAAATGAATTAAAGAATGTTATCAAATTATGGTGATATAATTATGATGAAATTTTCAATAATAACCTTATAGACTGATCCAAAACCGCCTTCGCCAACTTTTTCAATAACCGTCCACTGGTCTACTTGCTCACCTGATTGTAAACTGATAATATCCGCCATTCAATCATACGGCTGCTACCATTCTGCATGAAGATAGAGTAAAAAAAATGGACTTTGTTAGAAAGATTTTATTTTTATTATTTTTACAGGAGAAAATTTTGTCAGAAAATGTGTAAATTTTTGCATATATTAACTCTTCTACAGTAATTAAATAATCTATGTTCGAAATAAAACAACTGAACTAATTTCTGTTTTTATCACATCACAGCTACGTGACTGTTATCAATACTGTTGCTATGTGACCGTCATCAACGTTACTGCTACGTGACCATCATCAATACTACTGCTACATGATGATGGTGTTCATCAACACTGTTGCTGATCGTTATCAATATTGATGCTGCTACGTGACCATCACCAATACTACTGCTACCTGACAATCATCAACATTGCTGCTACGTGATTGTGCTGAAGGAACTCAACCTGCAATAGCATGTCGCACGATTTGTCACAAACGGACATTACTTCTGATGATGTCACTAAGAAACTTTGATTGCGATGGTTCGTGAATGCTAGTTATTGATGCTTTTACATGTTACAGCCATACCAGAGGCTTTCATAGGTTGGTTGTTTAGGTGGAACCGAGGAAGAGGGAAGGGAGGGTACAAAGGTAGGCATGTGTGTAATGTCATTAGCAGCTGCAAATTCAGTTGATTTCAATTGGCAATATCAGAAAAGTTTTTTTTTTTAAAGATGAGTTACATATTATTTATGATATATCAAATGTACACTCCTCTGTTGCATCATTTTTTTATCATCCATTTGTTCGGAGAGAGAGGGAGAGAGAGAGGGAGGAGAAGGAGAAGAGAGGGAATGATTTGCATATAAATTAGCTTGCGATAAGAGCACCAAAGATAGTTTCGTTCCATTCCTTCTGAAGTCAATTATTAAGAGGACGGACGTTTTTGCTTTTTAAAAAGTTATTTGAAATTTTCTTTTTTTCAGACAAAATAAATAAATTTGATATGGCGATTGTTACATCTGCTCCGAAACTGGAGATGATGGTATTGATGGAATGTGAATTGAAATATTTAGGGTGATTTTTATATTTTTGTTACAATTACTCTTTGATTGAAAGCTTAAAACAAAACAGATGCAAAGCGGAGAGCAGGAAATTATGTTGAGTTGCACAATCTTTTGGAATTTTTTGTTTTAAATTAGGAAATATGAGAGTTGTAGAATGCTTTTTCGAGCAATGGTAATTAGCAAATCTCGGCAAGATGATTTCTTAGTAAGAATAACGAAGAACGGCCATCGGATGTGGGAAGCTGGCAAAAGACGATATTAAGAAAAAGTCAGAAATATTACGAGCAATAAATTGCTGCAAAGGTAAAATTTGATTTTTAAGAATATACATTCAGTAGCTTGCTTGTTAGAAGGAACGACAAAGCATCCGTAATACACGCGTAATTACTTTAATTTATCCATGAGAAATGAGTTAGAAAATAAATAGTTTCGTATAATGAACATTTAATCAATGGCGATATTGTATTGATATTGTTTTTGCATAATTCTTTAAATCTTTGAGAAGAATGCAGTGGAAAAGGGAAGACAATAGCAGCTCTTGAAAAAACGAAAAAAGGTGCAAATAGAACTGAACAAAGTCTCTCATGTTTCACAGGTCTGAAGATTTCTTAATCTCATGAAGAAACCTTATTAGGTTTTTTAGGATTACCGTTCTGTGAAACGAATTACATCAAAGAATGGATCATTAAATGCGTCGACAAGGTGTGTTTTAAAATTATTAGAAATTATTGTTTTTGGTTCTTTGATTTTTGTAAGTGGTTCTATAAAATTCATATTTTTTTCTCTTTAAATTGATTATAATCTAGCTGATTTCATCAGCTAGATTTCCGGAGAGTAATAGAATACACATTTCCTAAAAGTATTTGTTTCCTTCATCTGTTTGATTTTATTGAATCGTGATTTGAATAGATCAATTTTTTAAGTAGAATAACTGAAATTTTTGCAAATGAAATACTTTAAACAAAATATTATTAAATGATATAGTTGCATGCACACGTGGTTACATCTCATGATATTCCAAGATTATTTTTTTTTTTTAGGCAGTCATAAAACTTCCCAAGAAAAAACAGGAATTTTTGATTAATCTCTGGAAACACTGTAGAAGATGTGTTTGCAGATTTTGACGGTTATCATGGAAGCCAACGTAAGACCAGTTCGAACATATGTGACATATTGTTTGGTTTGATCAAGCCATTTCATAACAAATATGAAATTTGCTGCATTTGGCCATAGTATATTTCATCGGACTGGTAAGTCAGGCTGTTAAATATTAATAGATAAAAAAATCTGAGTTTTGTAGTTCGTGTAAATGCAGGTATTGAAAATGTCCTAAATGAAAAAGCAGGTATTAAGGAACACGTGATCATTCGATGTGGAAATGCTGCTATTTTGTTACGTTTGAGAGTAGCATTGTTCGAGTAATGCGAAAACATTTCTATAATACCATCTATGTAGAAGTTGCTTTTTTTCCTTCTTCAGTGAAATAATTAAAAAATTTTTTTTCCAGATAACGGTAGATACGTTATTCGAACATAATTACTTTGGTAACTTATCTTACACAATCGTCATAGCTGTATCTAGAAACTTGAATTACCCTCCTTGGTGATGTCTTCTGCATTATTCAGTCTTACAGGTTTGTATAAATTATTTCCATTTTTTATTCAGAAAAAGTTTAAAAAAATTTGGCGAATACACATTTTGCTATTATGACAACAACACCAATCAGAATCCGTACGTATTCCAAAATATTCTGATTTTAAGCGATTAGCAAAACATGAAACGGTATTACCAATTAGTAATTGAATGCTTAGTAATAGTGCTTTACTATAACTAAAATTTAGTGATTATTGTTATTTAAAGAGATCTGTAATTAGCCATTTCACTACTATTCAACTGCTTTTCAAAACTGTAGAGTGAGAGAGAGAGAGAGAGAGAGAGAGAGAGGGTAAATTTGATTCACAAATGAAAGATGATGTTTTTGCTTTATAAGCTAGAAAAATTTCAGACCAATTGGTCTACAATAATCTGCAGTTATTTAGTTTGCGGTTTCATGATTCTTATTGTTGTGAATGATTGTTTAAGAAAAATCTTGTATTTGTCGAGACTTGGTGGAGTATACACACGTTAAAGTCGAATGTCCTTTCATAACGCTGGATGATTTAATGACGAAATTTGAAGAATTAGTTTGCGATACAGTTGATCGACTTCTGGTGATATGAAAGCATGAAATTGTTGGTGGGATTATGAGAATCTTGAAAATTTGTTCTTCAAAAAATTGCTATATACATTTCGGTAAAAAAAATTTCCCCAAATTTACTTCTTCATTTTCTTAATCATTTCTTTATATATTTTAGTTCAGTAAGCTTTCGAAAACTTCTGAAAATCAGAAAATTGGAGTCATACTGCTTATACTTGGCTCAACGTTTATATAGCATCTGTCCACATGGTAGCTGTGCACTTGACCTATAAGTTTTACATATACATAAATATTCATTAACTTTATCACATTCAGAATGTTTCTCTTTATCCACGCTTTTTTGACCGATACGCTGCATAAATATCATGTTTCGAAATTTCGTTACTTGCGCTGTAGTCAGTTTTTAGGGCTGTTTAAGTAATGAAGATGTTACGATTGGCAGTTGTTTTCTGCTTTTTACTAATTTGCACTAATACTGTTAATATAATCGAGAAGATGTTGTTGCACAAATTGTATAATTTATTGCAAAAATTGATTTTATTATTACCATCATTCTTATTCCTTCTATCTGTTTCGTCATTTATGTTTCTTCTTAATAAATACATTGCACAATCGCGTTGTTGTATGCTTGTAGAATTGTATATTTTAGCAAACTTTTATAACATACATTTATCAGAAATGGCGGAAATATTACGGCGAAAAAAAGACCTTTAGCTGTATATTTATTGTTGTCACTTTAGCTGTATATTTATATTAAAGTGGATAAGAATATTTTCTTCGTGCAGTAATACGCATCGATATTGTCAATTACATGATACCTACTTAACTTGAAATTGCACAACTTAATATTAACCTTCTAAAGTTATACTTTTATAAGTAATAATTCTTAAAGAATTCAAAAATCACATTACATGTAGATTGCTTATTATTTATATTACAATACGAAATAAGCGAGATATTTTTAGATTAAGCTTTAGGTTATTGCTAAACAAATCTGATAACGATAATAATAGCATATTATACGTAGTCGTTTGATAGACCGTGGGATAAATTGTCCGAACCAGTTTTTAGATTTCAAAAAATCTTCTCCTCCATGTTGAATAGATACTCACTTCTCTATGTTGCATATGTCATTGTAAAGTTTCTTCAGAATAGTATTCATAAATCGTTAAAGCTTTTTCCTGCTTACACATTTATTTATTTTTCATCAATAATGGCGCCAGTTCCAAGTATTCCTCCTCCTTTAACTGGCAGCAAAGAAGGGTACGTTTTTTTTTTTTTTTTTAAATGATTATTTCTTATTTGTAGTTCAAATATTCTCAAATAAATGTTGATATTGTTCGCGCAAGCATTGCAAGATGAAAATTTTCTTACGCTGATATCTTAAACTGCATTTGAGGTTGATGTTTCTGTTTCTAAGCTTTCTTATGTTTAATCCCTGAAATATATATGATTATAAAAAGTTATTGATTTCAGAACCTTTGCATTCTTAACTGTTCGCGATCGTTGGCCAAAGATATTGGGTAAAATTGTTGACCAAGTATATCGATATCGGCATGCTCACATTGCTGTTCATGGCAAGGTTCATTAATCATTTTATCTCAGTAATTTTTCTGTTTAGTCGAATTATTAGCTGAATTGCTTTATATTACAAAGTTTTGTAGTTATGTATTTTTTGCGGCAATATTTGCTGCATGCACAATGGAATGCTCTGCATTTAAAAATTTTGGTAAAAGTTTGTAGGTAATACCAATCCTGTTTTTTTTTTTAAATTATTTTAACAGTTTAACGTGAGGTTTATTTATAAAACACCGCTATTCAGGTAAATTATCAACGACATGAAATGTATGTGTTTGAAAGTAGCCTAATACTGAAATCTCCTTGTGACTTATTTTAAAGTGAAACATTAAAATGCTATGTATAAGAATAATAGCTGTTGACTGTTGACAGTTTTTAATATATAGTTGAATATGATTAGTCTATATCCATTATATCGTATTAAGAGAAGTACATCGAAATTTTGGATGGTAAAACTATATATTTTTTTCTATCATAAAAATTTCTAACATAAGGTCGAGATATCTAGAGATGGAAATTATTATAATTGCTTTAATTTCGGATATGGTGCATTTTTATTTTAGGAAGGCGAAAAAGATATTAAATCGGTTCTGAGTCAATTGTCTGAGTTATCTCATCGTGTTTCCACCGATAAGCAATTGCAAAATCTTAGTGACAATGGAGAAGAGGTCAATATTTGGAATGAAGAATTGAGAGAATTGCAAATGAAGGTCCTTTCATGCTTTTATAAATACGGCTACAAATGCATTTTTCTTTCTATTTAATTATTCTCCCAAACGTTTAATTAGATCTCTGGTTTTCAAAAATTACTTTTTTTTTGCTTGAAGGTTTTTTTTCTTAATTTTTATCGAATGCTTAGGAATTAATAAATAGTGTGGCATGATATGTAACCCGAAAGGCATGATAAGAATGAAGTATCATCAATTTGCCTTTCGAAATGTATTCTTTTATAGGGTAAAAATAATGAGCTATAAATTTTTAAGATTAATTGGCTTTGAAAAACAATATTTTAGTAGATTATTTCTGTAACAGATTGTGTCTAATTTTTTATGTACAAATATTTTAGAAAGGTGCGGAACATGTGACCTGGTATCATTGTGATTGGTTATTTGCTGAGTGTTTTTTATACCGACAAATAATGAGTTTGTTTTTGAAAACAACAACTCTGAAAGAATTTGATCCGTTCTCATCACAAAAACAGAGCTCTTTTATTGGTTGGTCAGTATTTATATTTTTTTTTTTGCTAGATATGTATGTCATAAACAATATTTTCATATTATGGAGTATTGTTGAATGCTTTATGAAATGATTGATTTCTGGTTATTCGATTATTTTTCCTGAAAAAAAGTTATTGCAGAAAGCAAACAAATTTTCTTCAAAATATGAAATAAATTTCAGCATTGATACAATTAGCATGCTTGTAAAACGCATTAAAGAAATGGAATCAGATAAAGCAAAAATTGAACATGACATAATTTTTCGCCTTTTTCAAGTATGATTTTGTTATCAACAGTAGAAAGTTTGATTTTGAACTTCAAATCAAAAAAAATTTCAAAATTTTTTTAAACAATAATTTTTTTATCTAGTTTTGCTTGTGGGGAAATATGTGCGATTTGTCGCTTTCATGTGGTGAACGCATTGCCTTATTGCCTGTTTTGGATATGGTTGATCAGTTGGCTGATAAAATCTTATGTAATCAGATTGGTGAAGTTGATTGCATCTTAAGGTGATTAATTCATTAGCATGCTTCCCACGTTGTTAATTTCTAGTGAATGATAAATCACAGCATTTGGAAATTAGCTTATTTTTCACGATTTCTTTTTGATTATTTTCCTTTTAACAAAATAAGAGTTTCAGGAATAGTGAAGTGAATCGTGTAGATGTAATCCTTGATAATTCTGGCCTAGAACTTTTTGCTGATTTAGTACTTGCGGACTTATTAATTGGAAAGTGTGGCGTAAAAAAAGTTGTTTTTCACGGAAAGGTTTGTACTTTTATGAAATCTCTACTGGTAAATTTAAAATTTGTAGAAAGATTAAGAATTTTATATAGCATGGAAGTTTTTCTGTGAAATGGTACATTATTAATTTTACTTTTGCTGTAGACAATTTCTTTTTGCTTTAGATTTGTTAGAATATCAAAAAATTTATGAACTTAAGAAAAATATTGCTGATTTTAACTTAAAAAGAGCCCACGATCCCCATTTACTCATTTAAGCTGCGGAATCATTCTTTTATTGATTTTCTTTCTAATGTCGTTATTTGTTTTAACAAAGCATACTTAACATACTTTTACATTCATAAAATATATGAAAATTGTGTTTGTAGAGCATGCCATGGTTTGTGTCGGATGTTACTGGTAGAGATTTCAACTGGACAATTGAAATGCTAATTGCCAATTCTGATAACTTGTTGAGGGATTTTGGTATGAAATGCTCACAAAGATTATGTGACGTATGCTTCTTTGAGTTTTTATAAAATTGAATTAAAAGTTAAAGTTTGAATTTGTTAATTTTTCTCTACGCAACTCATTCTTTTACACTTCTAGTATTTCCCAAATAAAAAGTGTAGAATTTTCGATTTTACTGTAACTTCGGCTTAGAATGCGCTTAAGGAGAAAAAAGTATCTTATGAACTGACAGGAACTATCATTGAATTTCAGCTCGTATTCAGTTTGAATGTTTTTTTAATCAATAAAGTTCCTTTGTCATTTCCAGTGCACCGACTTTTTTTAGGGTGAATTTATTTTTCAAACTCATTATTTTTGGACCCTTCCATATCCATATTGCTTAATGGCTGAGAAAGCTCCAGATCTTCATCATGAATTATCGCAGTCATCATTAATCATTTTCAAAGGTGATTATAACTACAGGAAGTTGGTCAGTGATCTAGAATGGCCACTGGATACTCCTTTCAAAGTAATTCTAATTGTTGATTTCTTTGTTACTTCGCGTATTAGAAAAAATGGCGAAAGTTTGTGTTGTAAAATTAACCAGTACATGTTAAAAAGATTACTAAAAATTAGTAATGAGAATATCAACAAGATAGTTAAATTTCAAAAATTTAAGACTTTATATATTTGGCAGATTATTTTCGACATGAAGCATTCTAAAGTGTCTGAGTCGGATGATTTCAGGTAGCTTTGCGAGGTTTCGCTCCGGCACCAATTTTGGTGCTTCGAACTATAAAAGCAGAAACGGTGGCAGGATTAAGTTCAAATGTTATTGACAGTTTACAGAAGAAATATGATAACAAGAAGATTTGGATGACGACAGGAGAATATGCTGTCGCACAGTTTGTGAGATGATTCCTTTTTCCCTATTATTAGTATTTCATAATTCTTTAATCAGTTAAGAATTTTGAAAAACTTCATATAAGCTCTTTGGTTTTGGATTGTTTTCTTTTGGATTCAATTAAACTAAATTTAACAGTGAGGATATACAGTTGAAACGGAGAACTGTTAAAAGAGTACAGATAATTAGAAGATAATGTGAGAAGTACTGGAGAAAGAAAAAACTTTGATTTCTAAGTAGCAGTGAATGAAATAACATCAAAAGAAGGGAACTATCGGCTTTCTCTGCTTTTTTTTATGGGCAATTTCTTAAACGGATTTCAAGTTTTATGTAAGCATTATGCGTTTGAAACTAAGCTCGTAGTATTTGAAAATTCTTACTTGCAAAATTTTGCTTGGTTAAATACCGGAATGATGATTTGTATCTTTTTTGAGCTGTATAATCGATAATATAATTATTGAATAAATTAAGCCACAAATCTATATTTCATTCGCAGTAATATCAATCAACACAAAAGCATTAAAAGAGAATATTTATGAATGCAGTTCTGAAGCAACTTTAGAATATGATGAACTTATATTATTATCCCAACATTTTGCTAAACATTTAACGTTAAAAAATTTCGGAATAAGTAAGCTTACTGCGTGTCAATGAATGCTACAACTTATGATGTCACATACAAAACATACATTCGCTAAAATTCTGCATTTTTTAAAAATTATTTTCCGAATAAAAAGCTGAATAAGAAAGAAATAAGTTTGTTCGGAAATGTGAAGAAAAAGTTAAGCCGGTTATTCGATAAAAAAAGCATATTGATTGGCGAATTTCATGCAATATATTTGTTTAAGAATTTTGATGTATAACAACGAAAAAAAAAGTAAAAGTTAGCCATTCTTTTCACTGTTTGGTTTGTTTGCGCTTTATTTGTTTTGCAATATCAACATTATACATCGATTTATGAGAAAATCCATCTTTCGAAGGAAATTCAATTTTTCGATTTTGAAAAATTTGATATCACTTTAAAAGCTATCCAATAGTTTGAATGTAATATTCCGTTGATCTCATTTTTGATTTATATTATTTCTCTCCCTTAGAAGCTGTTAATTTTGGTCGAGCATTTTTTTCCTTTTTTTTTTAAGAAGTTTAAAACTTTTTACTTTAATGGTATCCATTTTTTTTTTCATTTTTTTTGAAAACCTAAAAAAGCTTGAAAACTTCAGGTTAGCGTATTCTTGAAGAAGGATATTGGCAGTAAATTAGTTGAACATGGTAAATGGAATATATGTACAAAAATATTTTGTTGAAAATTGAAGGTTTATTTGAGCGATGAAAAAGTGCACTCAAAGTAAATCTCAAGATATTGTAATTTCAAGAATATCCAAGCTTGAATGAATGTTTCTTTTTTTTTTTCATTCGAGTGGAAATACTTTTGAAATTACAATATTTTGAGATCTGCTTTGAGAGCACTTTTTCAAAAGTATCTCTGCTTCAATAAAAAACAATGAATGTTTAGAGATATGAGGAAGAAAGAATGAAATGAACATCGATGAGAGAATCTCGACAATGATGTTCATTATGATCGTATGTGTGTGACAAAATATGTGTGACCATTATTTTCTTGTGAAACATCTGAAATTGTTATTTATTAAAATGATTATGAATTAATTTTTTTTTTTAATTTGATTGATTCAATCATTTGTTCATTTATCGTTTTTTTTTTTCTTCAAACCCTTCATTTTATCATTTTTTATTCTAGCTTACTTGTCCTTTGTACTTTACAGTTAGTATATGCTATACCTATCTATTACTTTTCGTTTTTTTTTTCACGAATTTTAATTTTTTCTTTTTCTAATTGTATTAATCGCTTCGTTCCATTTTTATTTTATTTCCATTTTTAATGCATTTTTTTAAGATTAGATTAAATATAGCAAGCAATACTTTAAATAAACCATATTTTATATTATTAGCTATATTTTGTATTTTGGGGGACAAAAACGAACAAATTTATATTACAATTTTTTTTTTCCTCGAAAATTATTATTTTACGCATTATTAATTATGAGGAAAGTTTTCAAATATGACATATGCGTCGAAATTTTTTACGGGATGTTATTTTTAATCTAAAGTAGCTTACCAGTCGAAATTTTTAGTGTTAAAAGCTATCCTAAATTGTAAAATATTACTATCACGAAAATTCTAAAAGATTACTATCATTAAAAAGTTAATTTTATGCAAAAAATGCTAACACTTTTAATCTCAAATAGCTTACTTTCATTTCTAAAAATGAAAATATTCTTGGCAAAAAGAAGAAAAAGCAATTTGCTCCTGAACGGATAAATGAATATTTTTAAAAAAATGTTTATTGGTCACCTAAAATATATAACAGTAACATTAGATTATTTTTGATGGAAATTATTATTTCGATTCTATAAAAAAAAAAAAAAAAATGAAACGCAAAGGTAAACCGACCCTCTTTTGCATACGTGAATTTTTCGTTAAAACATGGCTGGAATCAGATTAATGCATTTCAGCACATTTTTGGTCAGAGTCTGATGCCTAGCTTTTTCACATCACTTTCCTTAGGTTAATTGCGTCACTTCTAATGTTTTCTTATCTGATATCAAAGAAAGGTAGAATCAAACATTGGATGGGTTTGATTCATCCATTGATCAACTTTGTTCTACCTGTTAAGTGTTATCTGTCTTATTGATTTAATAAACCAAATTAAGTAATGAAGTAGAAAGAAGTTGAATTTCGTTCTACAACTACATTTTATTCTTCTGAACATTTAAGTAAGACAATTCCAGTAAAAATAGAAAATACCTTACAAAAAAAAAAAAAATTTTACAAAATAACTGTTACATTCATTTCAAAGAAATGATTTATATGTTTCTCATTTACATCTATTGGGAATTGTTCTAAAATAAAATAACTGAAAGACTAAAAATTTATTTTAATGAATAGTTCCAATTTTTGCTCTCTTTTTCTCATTTTTGAATTTTTTCCTTATTTTTAAATTAGGGAATAATTTTTTTTTTTCAAGTAATACCATATAACCGCTAAAAACATAGCACTAATCGAGGATTACTTCCAATCAATTATAAATTGATAAATAAAATCATAAATATTCATAGAATAAATCAGAAAAATTTTGCTATATAGATCGAGATGTTATTAAAATATTCCAAATAAAAGTAATTATTCAAAGCGTTTCGGTTTCAAAGAACAGCTCAAACTTTTCGCATTTTTTTTTTTGTGATTTTATGTTTTGACTACTGCTACATTCTTTAATCAGTAACATTATCCAAATGAAATTGATTTTTTCTAAAAAATCGATAAACCATATCTAATGCCATGATACACATATAATTAGTGACTATTCAGTATTGAATTTTTGAGACAATATTGTGATAAAGCGAGTTATTTTAAAATGAAAAATTTGCCATATAATTATCGTTATACATTTATAAAATTAAGTGTATAATTATAATTGTATGAAAAGTTTTTCATTTTAAAATGATCTGCTTTATAATAATAAAAAAATACGAAATTAAAAAAGTTTAAATCTTAAAAATTTACAAAAAGTGTAATTTATCATCTTCTATCATAAGATTCAAATTCGTTGTAAGATCAAAATCAACGGTAATATTTGCTACTGTAATGCGGATATCCTTAATCATAAGATTTGACACAAATCGATTACTAGCAAGAATCATTAACATGAACACATTTTTCATACCTTTTATTAATTCCGATATTCCCCGCAAAAATGCTAACATTGAAGCACAAAAGCGAAGATTTGTTCTATTGCAAAAGTTTTATATTGATTAAAAAAGCATCAATTGTAAATTGCGAAATATTTTAAGCATTAAAATAATAAGTGATTAAGCGAATGAGTTTGAAAAGAAATTATTAATCGTTTTGCTTGCAAGATAAAATCGTTAAACAATGTTTTCCGAATTAAAAAAAAATTAGAAATTCAAATGCGGTTTCTGTCTGATAAGAAAGGATGAGTCATAAATATGAAGTGCTTGGTAAGCAGTAAGCTAAATGTGATTTCAATATTTTGCTACTGATTAGCTTTTTGATTGTCTTACTTCACTCAATTAGATATTTTAGAAAATTTAATTTTAAAAGTAATTTCTCGCTAATAATATTAAATGTGGCAAAATTATTACTGTAAGATGGATGGCAGAATTTGAACAGCTACATCTGATATATTATTATTCATATTGGAAATCCGAAATAAGTTTATAATAAAAAAATATTTGTATAATTTTTATATTTTGAAAATAAATGTTAGAAAAATTCTTTTGTAGCTATTATTCCTGTACCAAATAATAGGATATACTTTATTTATATCTCAATTTACTGTAAATAATTTCATTAGCTGTAAATGATTAAACTTCAAAATAACTCGTCATTTTACCACAGGTATCATCCTCGATGGACTTGATGATCAGTTGATTAATCACTGGCTTTATCGATTACATGTTTAGATAGTTCTTTGTTTTGCTAACCGTTTTCTATCACATGATCTCACACATGATCTTTGTTCATCCATCGAATGACTGTCACTTCTTTGTTCAAGTACAGAATTGTCTGTCACATTAAATGACTCATCGAGTATCGGCCAACAAAAAAGAGTACATATAGTGTGACTCATTACTCTCAGAGGTCATTCCCATTATCTCTTATCAACAGTCAGTCTCACATGCAATATTCTTACGCGATTACTCACACCGGTCGACTGTCTATGAATAATCTTAGCTTCGGCAACTTAGACTGTGACTCATCCAACACCTTATCAATGATTATCATTCAAACTTCGAAACAATTACCTCAGTCATCAATAATACTCACAAAAAAATGCCTCAGTCATTAATAATAATCACGAAGAAGTGTTCATCTATTAATACTGCAATTGTCATATCACATTATCACTAATCCTTCGCAATGAACAAACCTTTATAATAATCATTGTTTGTAAAATAACAAACTATTCAGATTAAAA